CATCCATTAACTTAGTTTAACATCCAGTAATCAAAAAGCTTATTAAATATGCCTCCATAAACCTAAGGAATAACTACACCTGATGGCTGACCAAAACCTGATATTCTGACTGTTTTACAGATGAAAATAATGGTATTATCCTGGTGAGCCCTATCCAGCCTGTGACTGCGGGAAATGCTGTTATTCTGAGTTGCAGAGATGAAGAACAAAAACTCTCCAATGTGTTTTTCTATCACAATAACAAACTGATCCACAATGACAGCAGAGAGGAGCTAAAGATCTTTGCAGTATCAAAGTCACATGAAGGTTTCTACAAGTGTGAACATTCAGGAAAGGAGTCACCACAGAGCTGGATGGCTGTTAGAGGTGAGGAGGATGGAAGCGTTTGATGGATTTTATGATGTTAATGAAAGGATGTTTATGTAAACATGTCTCACAATCTGCAGATAAATAAAACACATTCTATTTACATTATCCCTATTTCCAGTAACCGAATCCAGTCCTGTCAGCTCTTCATTTATTTTGCTGCTGATTGTTGGAACAGTTTTTGGAATCATTCTCCTTATTCTCCCACTTATGTTGTGGCGCCGCAGACGTTCCAAAGGTCAGATCACACTCTGTCAGATTGCTTATTCGAACCTTTTTAAATAAATTTTGTGGTCATTTCAAAATAACTTAAGTATGATTTGAACCATTAAAGATAGAAATCAATAATGAATGTCTTTTTCACAGATTTGAATTCTTCCAGGTCTGTACACAACTCACATTTTCTTCTATATCTAACATAAACCACTGTAATTGTTTGTAATAACATATCTTTCAATCAGAACCAATCAGAAGCCCACCACAAATCACAGAGCAGAGACCGAGATTAATGACCATGCCACGAAGGGTAGGAAGATGAACAAGTCTTTTTCATAAAGTATTAAAATATGAACATATATTTGTCTCTTATTTTTAAAAAAAAGTTAACATTCATATATCTAGACAAACATTAAAAACTGCTAGAGTGAAACAAATTATTGACACAAATAGAATATGGAGTCAGTTTACATATACAAAAAAATATTATATTTCTGCTGTGAATGGTTTTGTTTCATATGTCTGTACTGCCTAAATGTAAGACTACTGTACAAATAGAATAAAGGAAAATTCAGAAAAGTACAACCCATAACAACCACATTATCATTAAATTAAAAAATCTGGTATTTTATGGTCTTTAGAGTATAAATAATCTATTTATAGCCTACTCTAATGTTTTCTTTACAGTAGACAATGCCCTTTATGCATCAGTCAAACCTTCTAGAGCCACTGGATCTGGTAAAGTACATATATTCAAATCAGTAACAGTCTCAAAAACTGCTAACAAAACAACTAATCTAATTTCTCTAAAATCAGGACATAATTCTGCTGAAGAGGAACCCACAGAAATCACATACTCCATTATTCAATTAAAAGAACTCAGAAAAAAGAGTGAGTTCTAAGCAAACCTTCTACAACACAAAACAACAAATCAGTGATTTCAGACTTTATGTTTTTGTCTTGATCCTTTGATGATCTCAACAGGCAGACCTCGTGAACCAGAGGATGTCGTTATTTACTCTGAAGTGAAACTGGGAGTTGAAGGTACAGTCAGTCTTTACAGTCTTTTGTCACACTGCAGGCAGGTCCAGCTCAAAATGGAGTT